GATTCTTTCTATGTAATGCAGGTGTCATTTGTAGGTGTTGGCGCCATACATATTGGTTAATTGTGGATAAACTCTTAGAATCTCTATACCCATTGACTGAATATCCTCCTTTGTGTGCACCAAGTCCTTACCCTTACCCACTGTGTCCAACACCCACAGTGTGCACACCAGTACATAACCATGAATTATTCAATTTTTCGCACAGCAGGATCACAAAAATGGCATTTCATGTTTAGTAAGCATGATTACCATATCTTGATAGCCGAAGATGTTTTTGGCGATGGAGTTTTTAGTATGCCTAACTTGCAATGATTTACATAATATATAATGCCAGGTATTTATACAGGTACATACCTTGATACATGTTTAATAGAGAAAATACGTTGCATAGAACAACTCAGATTATCTGTAACAGTCTAGGCGATGCATTAGCATATAGCTTCAAGTTGTGGGTTAAGTCGTAACTGATTGAGTCAAGTGCCATGCATGCCTCCAAGTCTGGGTCTTATATTACTTTGTAAAGTTTAATGTTCTATCGTGAGACATGGCCACCCTGGACAGAAATCCTTTGATGGTGTAATCCTTTCTCATAGAGTTTACATTACATCTAAGACCCTTTCTGACAAAAGATGCTGGCCACTTATGTGTCGTAAATCGTCTTTACGTGAAAATACTGAAGGGGTCTCCAGAGAGATTAGTAAGAAAGGGAATTAGGGGAGTCTAGTTTGACACTATGCAAAGCAACGCTCATGCTGCACACAAGAAAGGTGTTAAGTCCTGTTGTGGTACCTATTAGGTCACCTGTCCAAATCACTTTATTATCGTTTGCATGTAGATACATGACCACCTAATATTTAACCTGGATTTTCGTCATTTGGGTTTAGTTACACTACTGCTGTGAAATACTAATTCTGGTCATTTCAATCCAACTATAACATTATTTCAAAATTGTCATTGATGCTTGTCTGAGGGTGTACTTTAATGCTTGCCAGATTTACAATTCAGAATTTACCTTTTGCCATTCTCACAATTATCCGCTTGAATGTGTTATTAAAAGTGTCATAATTCCAAAATCCCTAATAGAAATAGGATTGCAATTTATGAAGTTAATTTTATTTTTTGTTATTATTTACATGAATGCTACGCATCAAGCCCTGCATTTTTAGCTCCGCTGTCGACTTTGTCGAGCGGAGCTTATCATATGAGTGATTGTCCGTCG